GGCCTTGTATAGTAGGCCGAGAAGTGCGTTCTGGCTATCAGGTACGACATATATATATATATATATATATATATATATATATATATATATATATATATATATATATATATATATATATATATATATATATATATATATATATATATATATATATATATATATATATATATATATATATATATATATATATATATATATATATAAGCCTATACTTGCATAAACCACAAGTGAAGATAAACAATCTTTGGACAACACCCACCAGTGGGACTCGAACCCAGAAAGCACAACTACCTTCCAGTAGCTGGCATAACTAGTATGCTTTAACCCACTACGCCATCAGACCTTACAAAAGAAGTAGATAGTTCGAGATATATATCTCAAACATCTCTACCTCCCGAAGGCACCAGATGAGTGAGGGGTCAGTCTGCATTTTTCGTCAAGCCACTGTCAATGTGAGAGAACTCGTGTCCAGCTTATAAGCCTATACTTGCATAAACCACAAGTGAAGATAAACAATCTTTGGACAACACCCACCAGTGGGACTCGAACCCAGAAAGCACAACTACCTTCCAGTAGCTGGCATAACTAGTATGCTTTAACCCACTACGCCATCAGACCTTACAAAAGAAGTAGATAGTTCGAGATATATATCTCAAACATCTCTACCTCCCGAAGGCACCAGATGAGTGAGGGGTCAGTCTGCATTTTTCGTCAAGCCACTGTCAATGTGAGAGAACTCGTGTCCAGCTTATAAGCCTATACTTGCATAAACCACAAGTGAAGATAAACAATCTTTGGACAACACCCACCAGTGGGACTCGAACCCAGAAAGCACAACTACCTTCCAGTAGCTGGCATAACTAGTATGCTTTAACCCACTACGCCATCAGACCTTACAAAAGAAGTAGATAGTTCGAGATATATATCTCAAACATCTCTACCTCCCGAAGGCACCAGATGAGTGAGGGGTCAGTCTGCATTTTTCGTCAAGCCACTGTCAATGTGAGAGAACTCGTGTCCAGCTTATAAGCCTATACTTGCATAAACCACAAGTGAAGATAAACAATCTTTGGACAACACCCACCAGTGGGACTCGAACCCAGAAAGCACAACTACCTTCCAGTAGCTGGCATAACTAGTATGCTTTAACCCACTACGCCATCAGACCTTACAAAAGAAGTAGATAGTTCGAGATATATATCTCAAACATCTCTACCTCCCGAAGGCACCAGATGAGTGAGGGGTCAGTCTGCATTTTTCGTCAAGCCACTGTCAATGTGAGAGAACTCGTGTCCAGCTTATAAGCCTATACTTGCATAAACCACAAGTGAAGATAAACAATCTTTGGACAACACCCACCAGTGGGACTCGAACCCAGAAAGCACAACTACCTTCCAGTAGCTGGCATAACTAGTATGCTTTAACCCACTACGCCATCAGACCTTACAAAAGAAGTAGATAGTTCGAGATATATATCTCAAACATCTCTACCTCCCGAAGGCACCAGATGAGTGAGGGGTCAGTCTGCATTTTTCGTCAAGCCACTGTCAATGTGAGAGAACTCGTGTCCAGCTTATAAGCCTATACTTGCATAAACCACAAGTGAAGATAAACAATCTTTGGACAACACCCACCAGTGGGACTCGAACCCAGAAAGCACAACTACCTTCCAGTAGCTGGCATAACTAGTATGCTTTAACCCACTACGCCATCAGACCTTACAAAAGAAGTAGATAGTTCGAGATATATATCTCAAACATCTCTACCTCCCGAAGGCACCAGATGAGTGAGGGGTCAGTCTGCATTTTTCGTCAAGCCACTGTCAATGTGAGAGAACTCGTGTCCAGCTTATAAGCCTATACTTGCATAAACCACAAGTGAAGATAAACAATCTTTGGACAACACCCACCAGTGGGACTCGAACCCAGAAAGCACAACTACCTTCCAGTAGCTGGCATAACTAGTATGCTTTAACCCACTACGCCATCAGACCTTACAAAAGAAGTAGATAGTTCGAGATATATATCTCAAACATCTCTACCTCCCGAAGGCACCAGATGAGTGAGGGGTCAGTCTGCATTTTTCGTCAAGCCACTGTCAATGTGAGAGAACTCGTGTCCAGCTTATAAGCCTATACTTGCATAAACCACAAGTGAAGATAAACAATCTTTGGACAACACCCACCAGTGGGACTCGAACCCAGAAAGCACAACTACCTTCCAGTAGCTGGCATAACTAGTACCAGTTAAGGATTATATATATATATATATATATATATATATATATATATATATATATATATATATATATATATATATATATATATATATATATATATATATATTGATCAATATCAGTGCTGCTTGGAGAGATTTCGTATTGGTTGTTTGCCACATATATTCCAGTTGATGAGTTGATTACGAGAATAAAATTTCCTTAAGCCAAACATGGTCGTCACTTGAGTTAAGCAATAACAAGTTTTCACATCAACCTGCTGCATCTCACAAAATATCCGGCTGAAAAACTTTCTCCTGAAAACTCCCCAAACGAAGGAGAAATTGTTTAGATATTATTAAGGCAGAGCTTGTGGGGAAGAGGAAAGAGGTATTAAGACTTCACAAATTAGGACTAACTTCTTGCCAACTGATTACCTTCATGGAATGTATCAGCCATAATTCCTATGCACAAAATACTCCAATTATAAAATGTAAATAAAATATTTTGAAATATATGTATCGTGTGTCTGGAGTTTTAAACTCTCAACGCTATTCCAACAGGTGGACAGGTGTGAGGTAGGGGTGTAGTGCCAGGTGTGGGGTAGGGGTGTAGTGCCAGGTGTGGGGTGGAGGTATAGTGCCAGGTGTGGGGTGGGGGTGTAGTGCCAGGTGTAGGGTAGGGGGGTAGTGCCAGGTGTCGGGTAGGGGTGTAGTGCCAGGTGTGGGATGGATGACGAACCAAATAGGCATAAATACTCCGAGACCAACAACACTTTCTCTTCTTCGTCGCTCTCAAAAATTCGCAATTACGATATCAAACATTGTTTAAAAAAAGGAAACAATTCATATATAATATACTCATAATAATGGAACGTCAACCTGGGGCGCAAGAGCTGGAGGAATAAGAGACGAACACTCTGCGTATGCATCAAACACGAGCTGGAGTCACTTGCTCTTGTCATAGTTAATAAATCTCGAAATCTCGTTTTATGTCTGCGGTTCCTTGCATCTTGGAGTCCTTTACTCTGGCAGCGTCCTGCCTCAAGCCGACGCCCCGCTCGTCTTGGTGTTGGAGTCAACTTGATGATATAACTTGATGATATTTGTGTTACTTAAGGAACTGAAATATAAAAATGTAAGTTTCATATGGCAACGAATTAATGAAGGTAATGCATCGGTAACAATTGAGAACTTTAAATAATGTATGTGAATGAAAGTCTTAAATTCAACACACGAAACTGTATTCGAGTACGCAATACATAATACAGCATGCGTCATGATCTAAGCTTTCTTGACACATGCAATTCCAAATATTGTAGTAAAAAAAAACAGGTAATGATCATCCAAAGAAATGAGCTCTAAAGTCAATAGGAAATTAGACCGCAAATGGTCTCTAACCGCAGGAGAAGCCATTAGCATCGAACCCGATCTCAACCTGACCTTCAAAATCTCATTCGATTCCTAATAAGTTACTTTTCTTGATACTAGTTTGTGCTTTGTATTGGTTCCCAGGCTTATTGATCGGAAGAGAATACTCTTGGAGTTTCTTGAGGTTATCTTGAGATGGTTTCGGGGCTTTTAGTGTCCCCGCGGCCCGGTCCTCGACCAGGCCTCCACCCCCAGGAAGCAGCCCGTGACAGCTGACTAACACCCAGGTACCTATTTTACTGCTAGGTAACAGGGGCATAGGGTGAAAGAAACTCTGCCCATTGTTTCTCGCCGGCGCCTGGGATCGAACCCAGGACCACAGGATCACAAGCCCAGTGTGCTGTCCGCTCGGCCGACCGGCTCCCAGTTTGTTTCACATGAAAACATGAATAGTTTAATATAGGTAGTGTCGGCCGGAAGGTATGTACTAGCTCTATCTATAAATCCATCAATGTTTGTATCTCACCTTTATGTATGAACTTTACCTGATTAAACATTTGATTTGATTTGATTCACGGCTCTTTCTCTCTTTCTCTCTCTTGGCGTTCTAGCTACCTAGTAGCCAGAACGCACTTCTCGGCCTACTATGCAAGGCCCGATTTGCCTAATGGGCCAAGTGATTTTCTTGATTTTCCAAAAAAAATCCAATTGGCAGTATTTGAATTATTATTATTATATTATACTAGGAACATAAATTATTGACTTAGTTATATTAGTTTAGGTTAGGTTAGGTTCGGTCATATATCTACGTAAGTTATAACTCAAATTAAACAAAATGAACTCATACATAATGAAATGGATAGCTCTATCATTTCATAAGAATTAAATTAGAAAAATATATAAATTTAGGAAAACTTGGCTTATTAGGCAAATCGGACCTTGCATAGTAGACCGAGTACTACATTCTGGCTACTAGGTACAACATTATTTATATATATATATATATATATATATATATATATATATATATATAATATATATATATATAATATATATATATATATATATATAAAATATAAATATATATTTCTGTCTGTCGTTTCCTGGGTCACGTTCGTATTTCGCTGGAATCATCTCGTTCGGGGCTGAAGAGCTGGCGTAGCACCTCGGAATTCAGGTACTGGATGAGAGGAAAATTTGGGGACGTTTGTGGAAGTGCTGTTAAGAGATTGGATAGTGCAGTCGCCCCTGGTTCATAAAATTGGAAATTGAAGTCCCAGTTTGGACTTGAAGGAAATTGAGCTGGTAAGAATACAACCAGTTTTATTGACTGTACCTTTATTACTTTTATTGCTGTTGTTGTTTATATTGGTATTAGTACTTCTTGTATTGCTGTCGTTAATGATAATATTAATA